AGACTAGGGCCAGAAAAGTGTAAGCCTAGCTTGGAATATCCTATTGTCAAGAAAAATAAAGAAATGCTCAAAATGTGCTGGGAAATCATAGTCATGTTTAAAGAATTCCCTTTGGTTAATCCAGAACAATTTGAGAATTAATTAAAGATAATAATGAATCGTATATCTTAAATAAAATTGGGATCCATGAGTTCGTATGGTCACAAATAAATAAACTAATTCATTTTGATGAGGCACATAATATTAACACAATCTCAAAATCCTTCCCCACCAAACACTTGCTAATTACAAAGGAACAACTTTATAGTGGGGAAACCTGAGCTGCTGCTTTCATCCAGTTCACATCTTCAGTAATGTGACAAATCAAAACCACATAGGGCCTGATATGATGCATAGGGGAGAGCACATGAGAGATGCAGTGTTGGCCACAGTCCCAATCTATAGCTCACAGTCAGGTGGAAGAGACCCATGATCATAATATGGTAACTTGGTAATGTCTGTAAGTATAAATAACTGCTAACTTGGGGTGAGTCAGATAAATCTCAAAAAATAAGGGACTTCTGTGACACTCCTGCCAAAGATGAATAACCTGAGTCTAGCCATGAAGAAAAAGGCTGATGAACCCTAATTGAGGACATTTCATCAAATAACTGGCCTTTAGTTCCACAATTTCAAGATCATGAGTGTCAATGAATATCAAGGAAATACAAGAGGAAGAAATTCCCCTTTTCTTATGTCCCAGTAGCAGCTCAGGAAGCAATGACCAAAAAACAAAAAACAAAAACAAACAAACAAACAAAAAATCATTCGTCTTCTCTAAGAAAAAGTTATATGGGAACATAATGACTTAAACTCTTTGGCACAGCATTTCGTTGCTGAAATTTTCAAAGCATGTATCTCCTTTAAAAGTATATAACTTTTCATAGGACATTTCCAAGGGACATAGTTAACCCTCAGAAGAAAAATGTAACTAATAAATAAAAGACAAACAAACTTATTCAGCTTTACTAGTAATCAAATAAATGAAACTTAGGACAATGAATATCATTGTTGTCTGTCATATTGGCAAAATACAGACCAAACAATTAATATTTGTTGTTGGCAAAAATGAGGAGAAATTAACACTATTGTATCTTACTGAACGGTGTTTACACTGACAGGACTTTTCTGAAGAAGAATTAGGCATTATGGCTCAAAAACTTTTGACAAAAGCGTATACTTTAAGCAATTCTAATGGGAATTTATATTACGTAATTAAAATTATATGTAAAGATATTGCCATACTAATATTTATTGGAGTGTGACTTCTATTTGCAAAATACCAAATTAATGACAATAATGTATTGTTTACATAATAAACAGAAATATTAAAAATGATGGTGTGGAAATACATATATTTGTAAAAAGATGTTCATGGCCCAATACTAAATGGAAAAAGTAGGTCATAATATGAACCCATTTTTTGTTAAAATACATATTTATACAAACAAGTAAATGTATATAAAAGAATCTGAAAAAACATCTCCAAAATATAATTGTGGTTATCTTGGCATTAAGACTATAGTGATTTTTAAGTTTTTCTCATTCTTTTTGTTTACCTGTAGTTTTAAAATTATGCATGAAGAATGTAGTACTTAGGCAATTAAAGTTTTTTAAAGCTCTGTTAGCTCATATGTATCAGATGTTGAATGTCATGACTTGGTAGGTTTTAAAGAACTATTGTCATTTTCTTGGTATACATTTTCCCTTAGAGTCAACAGAACTCAATCTTATATTAGTCTTCCTTTCACATTCTCTTGCTCATCTTAGAAAGCGTGTAGCTTTCTTAAAAAAAAGCATTCAGCTTGTCTCAAGGCATTTCCATAAGTTGATTTAATCACGTCAAACCTGTCAGAAACACTTAAGGAGCTACATTTGTTTATTGCAGCCACATGGTGTTCAAGAAAAGTGAAGTCAAAACCGAATGAAAGAAAGAAAATGCCCAAGATAGACAAACATGCCAATGTGCCAACATAAAACCGTTCCTGTGGTGACTTGGGAATGCAAGGAAATTAAACAAATTCCCAAGGGAGTGAAAAGTAAAGCAGAGATTCATGTTGGAGTGGCTCTATAGAAAATGTTTAAAAATCAGTTTCCATAATTATTGTCAACAATGAAGCTTCTATAAATTTTAGTTTTTTAAAAAACTATTCCTTTTACTTCAAAGTTTAGCTTCAATGTCCCTTATTTTTTGAGATTTTTCGGACTCACCCCAGGTTTGCAGTTATTTATATTTATAGACATTACCAAGTTATTATATTATGATCGTGGGTTTCTCCCACCTGACTGTGAGCTGTGGACTGGGACTCTGGCCAGCACTGCATCTCTCATTCTCTTTATAGCTGCAGTGCTTGACACGGTCCCTCTGGTTCAGAGCAAGCATTTAGAAAATGTTTTTGCCACATTTTATTAAAAAAAAAAAACACCTGAAAATGTTTTTGAATGAAAATGCTAAACGCATTAAAAAATGTTAAAATATTTTGACTGAAGAATCAACAAATCACCTATTATCGATTTAACCACCCATACACACACATGTGTGCGTGCTTTGTTTGATGAAACCCCCTTTTTTAATTAACAGAAATGAGGTGTTGTTATGTTGCCCAGGCTGGTCTTAAACTCCTGTCCTCAAATGATCCTCCCACCACGGCCTCCCAAAGTGCTGGGATTACAGGCATGAACCACTGTGCTCAGCTGGAAAAATCTTTTATGTGATATTGGAATATTTTGTGAGCCAAATTTGTACTTCATTTCCGACTCAGAAATATTGATAGAAGTTTGCCAACTGGTATTCAAAGAAAGAAAAAGAAAGAAAGAGGAAGGAAGGAGGGAGAGGGGAGGGAGGGAATAAAAAGAAAGAAAGAGAAAGGAAAGAGGAGAGAGAGGAAGGAAAGAAGGTAAGAAAGGAAACACAGATTCTTATTTTCCGCATATGCAATCAGCAATTTTACACATATTGCTCCTGAAACTTTACACGATCCTTTGTGTTTCTTTTCCTTGTTTCTGCCCTGGAAGATGGACATTTTGCACAGTTCACTAAAGCGTCAAAACTCTAGAGTAGAAGCCCAGAGACCACATGACATCTGAAAACACAGCCATCAGAAGGGAAGATAATGTAAATTTCAAGGAAGCATATTACTCAAAAGGGTAAATTGTTTTCTATTCCTGCTCAGACTTGACATTCCTGAGTCTTCTAATCACATGGCTTTTGATACCCAGACTCATTATGTCAGCCATCGCCCTAGTTTGTGTTGCTAAGAAATTTCTCTAATTCTAGTAAGAATAGGATGATTTAGTATTATTTGAATTCTGTTCAATTTATACCTTCATTACAGCTTTGACTCACTTTTGATGAAGTACATTTTACCATTTCATTGCATCTTTTTTTCTAAATGTACCTGCCTGTTTCCATTTAAAAGATCATAGACTCTTAGAAGGCAGAAATCCTTCCTCTCACAGAGTAGGCACCCACTAAATTAGAGGCTTGGCTGAATGAGTGAGTGAGTGAGAGGGCTATCTTATTCAGTTAAGTATTATTGTTTGTAAATTGCTGCTGCAAAAACGCTTCCCCTTCTCCCAACAAAAATGGAAAAAAGGTAGTGTTTCCTCAAGTCTTCTTTCATGGAATATTGATCTCATTGGATATTAGTATTTAAGTTAAAATAAATTATGAATATTGCAAACGAATCTAAACAAAATCAAACACATTTTTTAACCCCAAGACACATCACAGCATCTGATATGCTAATACACCAATCATGAATTACTTTTTCTTTTCATTTTTCTAGTTATTATTATTATTTTTTTACTTTTATTTCAGGTTCAGGGGTACATGTGAAGGTTTGTTACATAGGTAAACTAATGTCACGGGAATTCATTGTGCAGATTATTTCAACTGGAGTTAAGCCCAGTTCCTAATAGTTATCTTTGCTCCTCTCCCTCTTTTCACCCTCCACCCTCGAATAGACCCCATTTTTTCCTTCTTTGTATTTTTAAGTTCTCATTATTTAGCTCCAACTTACAAGTGAGAACATGCAGTATTTGGTTTTCTGTTCTGATGTTAGTTTGCTGAGAATAATAGCCTCCAGCTCCATCCATGTTCCTGCAAAAGACATGATACCATTCTTTTTTGTGGCTGCATAGTATTCCATGGTGTGTGTGTGTGTGTGTGTGTGTGTGTGTGTGTGTACCACATTTCTTTATCCAATCTATCACGAATGGGCATTTAGGTTGATTCCATGTCTTTGCTATTGTGAATAGTGCTGCCATAAACATTTGCATGCATGTGTCTTTATGGTAGAATGCTTTACATTCCTGAGCATATACTCAGTAATGGGATTGCTGGGTCAAATGGTAGTCCTGCTTTTAGCTATTTGAGGAATCACCATACTGCTTTCCACAGTAGTTAAACTAATTTACACTCCCACCAGCAGTGTATAAATGTTCCCTTTTCTCTGCAACCTCACCAGCATCTGTTCTTTTCTGACTTTTTAATAATGGTCATTCTGACTGGTGTGAGATGGTGTCTCATCATGGTTTGATTTGCATTTCTCTAACACCAATCATGAATTTCTAAGAGGTTTTGTAGCATCCAATATTTCCAAAATGTATCTGATTATGAAACATTTTTTGGAACATTTGACAGGATTATGTTCTGGGAACTCATTTTGGGGAGGTTGTTATATATCATTCCTGCAACAATAATCCACATTTATTCAACCTTTCGAATGTGCCAAACACTGTGGTGTTAATGTTATAGAGATAAATAAAAGAATGTCTGCTCCCGAGGTGCTCTTGAGCACAGGTGTACTCAGAACAGAAAAACTGTTGAGTCAGATTGCAAGTGATATAATAGAAGTGTGAACTGAGTGCCCAGGGAACAAATTGTGGCTCACTCCAGGAAGAAGTTAGAGCTCATTGGAGAAAGTAAGTTAATTCATTAGCTGCTTTTCTTATAACAGGTGGCATCTAGCATCCTGAGGACATCTGGGATGAAGACTTTTTCTTACGATCAATGAATGGAACAAGAAGAGAGGAGACATTTGATTGTTTCTTACATTTTCCTGCTGCCGTTACTGCCTTTCATCAGATAGTGCCACTGCAATCCTCCTTTAAGAATGGAGAGTGGCTTAGTGGAGAAGTTCTGGACAGGAGTCAGGTGAGGATGGGCAGTGAATATTTTGTGCTATTATTCTTCCAACATCCATTGCCACTTCTTCTGGAGTGAAGTGGAGCTTCAGTTTTTATTAGGAGAACCACACTTCCTCCTTGGTCCATCCATTCAGGTAGGCCCATGCTACCTTCTGCTCAAGGCATAGGCATATGACCTAAGCCTAGTTCATCCACATAGTCCATCTCCCTGGACAGTGATTGGTTTAGTACTGTAATTAAAGCCAGTGAGGCTCAATATTTGTTCAAATGTGAAGAAACTCCCGTGAAACAGACACTCTCTTTCCACCAGACTTGAGGCTGATGGATGTAGACCTCAAATTGCCACTTCAGGGCAACTGTGTAGACGGAATCTGTCTGGGAATGAAGCCAACCTGGTGGAGAGTGGTACCGAAAAACAGAGCGGGAAGGACACCTGGAGGTCAGTTTTCGATATCTGGATCCAGCTTTGTTTGAAACTACTTTTAAAGTTTTCATTTATATGTCAACTAAATTTCCTTCTTTTAAGCCCATTTGACTCGAGTTTGTGTCTTTTGCAACAGGAAGGATATAACAGAGTTATACTAACTAGCTGCTAATTAGCTGTGTGCCTCTTAGGGGTCACAGTCACTAAACAGATAGGGGTCTCAGTTTCCCATATATAATATAAAATGGTTGAACTAGATGGATGAATTTCATACTTTGGTTTAGGGTATACCTTCTTCTTAAAGGGAATCTTATACTGTTTGTCATGCTAATAGGTAAAATAGATAAAATAAAATGCCTTTACTGAATCAACATGGATTTACAGAAGCCTGCCCACATGTCAATAGTTCACAGCTTAAAATCACTGGACGGGCTGGGTGTGGTGGCTCACGCCTGTAATCCCAGCACTTTGGGAGACCGAGGGGGGCAGATCATGAGGTCAGGAGTTCGAGACCAGCCTCGTCAGCATGGTGAAACCCCGTCTCTACTAAAAATACAAAAAAATTAGCCTGGCATGGTGGCGGGCGCCTGTAGTCCCAGCTACTCAGGAGGCTGAGGCAGGAGAATCGTTGGAACTGGCGAGGCGGAGGTTGCAGTGAGCCGAGATCAAGCCACTGCACTCCAGCCTGGGCGGACAGAGCAAGACTCTGCCTAAAACGAACAAACAATAAATAAAATAAAATCACTGGATGGTGTATTAATGAGTTCTCTAGAGGGACAGAACTAATAGGATATATGTATGTATGAAAGGGAGTTTATTAAGAAGAATTCACCCCCCTCCGGTTCACAAGATGAAGTCCCATGATAGGCCGTCTGCAAGCTGAGGTACAAGAGGCCAGTAGTGGCTCAGTCTGAGTCCCAAACCCTCAAAAGTAGGGAAGTCGACAGTGTACCTTTCAGTCTGCGGCCGCAGGCCTGAGAGCCCCTGGCAAACCATTGGCGCTAAGTCCAAGAGTCCAAAGGCCAAAGAACCTGGAGTCTGATGTTCAAGGGCAGGAAGTATCCAGCATGGGAGAAAGATGAAAGCTGGAAGACTCAGCAGGACAGGATTCCACCTTCTTCCACCTGCTTTTTCTAGCAGCCTTGGCAGCCAATTGGATAGTGCCCACCCACACTGAAGATGGGTCTTCCTCTCCTAGTCCACTGGCTTAAATGTTAATCTCCTCTGGCAATGCCCTCACAGACACACCCAGAAACAATACTTTGTATCCTTTAAGCCAATCAAGTTGACAATATTAACCATCACAAACAGTATGTCCTTTAATATCTTTTCCAATGCTAATTATCTATAATTCTGATTTTATGAAGTCTTATTAATATCCAAGTCAATGTTTCAGAATTAAGTTTGTAAAGCCTAAGCAGATGATTTAGCTTATGAGGGGATGGTGAAATAGCCACTGGTACAAGGACATTCTGGAGTTGGGAATGTTTTTAAGTAAAACTCCACTAATGTACCAGCAGCAGGACCAGAATATACACTGTTGGTTGTGGTTATTAACTGTGTTTCATTTATAAAACATGATTGGCTGAGCAGGGAAATACCCTTTATTTTGTTTGTGGTTGCTGGGTTTTACCAAGAGTTCTGATTGAAATGGTTGGGGACCAGTTCTTTCACCTTGCATGAGAGCAAGACCTTCATTTCTAAAATGGATTAAACCAATATGCTGAGTGATCCATTTGTTCTTTTCACATTGTATTTGGATTTCATTACTGGAGAAGTCAAAAGGCCATTTTCATTTTGGACTCTGGAAAGGTCATTTGTTACTCATGTTTTTATTTCCCTGTTCTTAGTTTTGATGATGAGGAAGAAAAAAGAGAATGGTAGTAGTATTTGATTAGTCTCACCACGAATTCATTATTTTCTGACTATTCCTGCTGGGCTTCAGACTCTAATTGTATCTGTCAATATGGTAAAAATCATTTTGGATTAAGACCACAGTAGACTGTTTAAGACTGCCGTTTCAGAGAAGGAAACTAAGTCTTTGGAAACCTTTCTAAGCTTAAGACATCAGAAGTCTCATGAAGGACCATAGACACAGTTTAGTAAAGAAAATAATTTCTCACATAAAAAAGTAAAAAAAAGAAGAAACAATTTCCATGACTTACTAGTTTTATGAATTAACCTTGGCCATAGCTCTAAAAGTGATAATAATAAAAATAATGATAATGATTTTAATAACTCAGAAGTTTCATCTACCTGGGCTATCATATTGATGGTTTTGATTTCAAATAATGGCAGCAGCATTTTGTTCCAAGAAAATAAATTAAGTTAATCTTTCTGCTACTTTTAAACAGTCTTTATTTGTTTAAATCCCACTCTTACAATACCACACCTAGTACCACCGTAGAAAAGTACTTTATAGAAGCTTCTGGTTATTAATATTCAGAGTATTTTTTGCTCAAAAACTTGACACTAAAGTACTTAAAAACTGTAAAAAAAAAGTTTAGAAAAAAATAAGCACAGTGGCAGCTAGCTGAGTGAAGCCAATGGATTCTAAAAATGCTTGCTAGAAAACAAAATGTGTAAGAACAGTACAGCTAATCTTCTCCAGGTTTATTCTTGGAACCAGAACAAAACTACCTAAAAAAGAACAATACAGTAAACTCCTTTTTACATATTGCTTCATTTCAAAACCAGAAGGATTCAAAAGAATATTTATAGGAACTAACAATCTTCTCTTAACTTGTCTATTTTCACCTATCTTTTAACCAAAGATTAAAGAGAAATCTTAATCTTTGGTTTACATGAGAAAATGTAGTCATTGTTTCTGAAAAGATACTTTTCTTCCTCCTACCCCTCTCAGTACAAAAGCAAAGCTGTTATGGTGTTTTCTTGCCTTGAAAAATGCTCTTTTATTTTTGCAACTTATAGTAATATTCTAAAGCCAATATTTAAAATAGATATAAGAATTTTATAACTTTCCATCTGTGATAAATGTAATTTTGCATATTTAATATTATAAAATAAAACATCTTTAAGTGTCATGAAGAATATTTTGTTAGTAGCCAGTTTGGTCACCTTTGTACATTTTATACCTTAAAAAAATTTGCCACAGGGTGTAACATGTTAACCTATCATGAAATACATGTTGCTTCATGAAAACACTTCAAAAGCACTTCTTTGGTATTGCCTTATAGTGAAATACAAAATAGACTTATTGAGAGGATATATGTATGATATATTTTATTATTTTATAAATGATATAGTCCTAGTAAACAAACATTTAATATATGCATATTATATACCAAACATTGATCTAGAGTCTGGAAATAAAGCAGTGAACTAAACAGACAAATGTTCTTTTCCCAACAGAACTTATATCCTGGCAGAGGGCACAGAAAATAATCAAACAAGTAAAACACATAGTATGTCGGAGGAAGGTGAGGGCTATGGGAAAGAAAAGCAAACAGAGCGGTCAAAACTATAAGAGCAAAGTGTGGGAATTGCCATATAAAACGGAATGGCCAAGGAAGGACTTGTTGGTATGCAGGCTAAGAGAGAAAAACATTCCTATGTGCATGATTATTGTCTTGTCTCCTCTATGACACCAAAAGCTCCATAAAAGCACTGTTCTATCTGTTTTTATGTACTGCAAAATTTTCAAGGTCTGTCACAGTAACAGAAATAGAAGTGCTTAGAATTTGTGTAATGGATGAAATAACCTCATATAATAAAGTCTAGAATACCCACCGGTGGAAAAAAAGGGCGTTAAGAAGCACACAGAACAAAAATAATCTATAGGAAGAGTTAGTGTAATAAATAAATAGTTCACAAATATTACAGATCAAAGTCATTGCAAGAGTTTTCAGCAAATTGAAGGGAAGCCAGTCCTCTTTAGTCAAGCATATTATTTAATATAACAAAAAATTAATGAGGTGCTTTCAGAATAGAGTGTCCTAAACTGTGTTATATAGAACACTGTCTTAGTCCATTTTGTGTTGTCATAAGAAATAGCTGAGACTGGGTAATTTATAAAGAAGAGAATTTTATTTTGCTCACAATTCTGGAGGCTGGCAAATCCAAGATCAGGCAGCCTATTTGGTGAGGTCTCATGCTTCTTTAACTTGTGATGGAAAGCTTACATGGAAACAGGCATGTGCAGAGACCAAATGTGAAGGAAAAATCCTCTTGTGGTCACTAACATGGTTCCTTGAGGGTGAAAACTCTTTTCCACCAGAAAGCATTAATCTATTCGTGAGGGATCTGCTCCCATGACCCAAACACCTCCCACTAGGCCCCACCTCCCAACCCTGTCACATTGGAATCAAATTTCAACATAAGTTTTGGTGAGAATAAAACTCATCCAAACCGTAGAAAACACTTAGACACTGTGATATTCCATTAAAACATGTTTTCTTTAACTATAAGCTCAATATTAGCAGGTTCTGAGTCTATCGTTGACATAACTGGAGTCACTAAATCTAGGACAGTGTTCTAAACATGGCAAACTCTGGATAAATATTTGTCAAATAAGGAAAAAAGAGTAAATTAATTTCTTTACTGTAAAGCTACTCAGAAATTTTAATATACATTATAAATTTCCAAATGGAGAATAGCGTTGTATATTTCCAAATGAAGAATGCAGAATTTTTATATTACATCTTTTTCAATTGCAAGTGAAAGAAAAGTCAGTCAACTATGTTTAGATAAAAGAGGAATCTTTTGACTCACAAGTAAAAAGTTCAGTAATAATTTTGGATTTAGGCTTGGTTTAATGTAAACATGTGTTTAATAACTCATATAATTTTATTCAGGCCCACTTCTCTCTCTCTCTCTCTCTCTCTCTTTCTCTCTCTCTCCTGATTTATTTGTTATGGTCTGTTGCTTACAGATGTTTTCTGAATGATGACCATTGACAATTTTTGGCTTATTTCATTCACAGTTATTCTAGTAGGAAAGAAAATGTCTTTCTTGCTTACTTGTCAAAGAAAACAAATCTTAAAATTAGACCTGATTGTCCTGGCTATGAGTGTGTACTAATTCTTAAATCAATCAGTATGGCTAGAGAATGTGTTAATTTTTTTTGGTCAGGCCTAGATCCCATGCTGCCCTTGGAGACTGGGAGCAGGGTAGTTCTTCAAACAAAAATGAGTACTCTTACCCAGAAAGGAAGAAATCAATGCTGGATGCAAAACACAATCATGCATTAAAATCTGATCATATCACTATTGTGTTTTCTAAATTAAAATCTAATCATATTATACCATGTTTCATTTCATTTTTTGATAATTACACATTTTTTAAATCAGAGTTTCTCTCACTAAGCATCCACAGAAAAGTGCAATTCCACTGTTTATGAGGTAAAAAGAATATTCCTGAGAGATGAACCATCAGCACTCCCAGCAATACTGAAGGTGGTGGAGGATCTGAGTGGTGTTGCACAGCCTCCACTCTTAGGCAGGTGTCTATATGTATATGTATATGTGTATGTGTATGTGTATGTGTGTGTTGCATGTGCGTACTGGTACGTGTGGTATCTGGTTACGCATTGTGTGTGTGGGGTTGGAGATTTTGTTCGTCCTTTTCATTCTGTTTTCAGGATGAGGACCACAGCAAGTGTGGCCAAGATAAGCAATCCAATAATGCTATTGGTGCGAAGTGACCTTGTTCCTCCCTCCCTCCCTCCTCCTTCTTCCCTCCTCCCCTCCACCTCCCTCTTTCCCTCTCCCCCTTCACCCTCCTTCCTTCCTTCCTTCCTTCCTTCCTTCCTTCCTTCCTTCATTCCTTCCTTCCTTTTTTCCCTGCTGAGAGATCATGAGCATTAAATAAACTAATCACATGTAAAGCCCTTAGAACAGTATGAACCACATAGTAAGTGTTTCATAAATGTTAATGATGATGATAATGATTACTCATCTAATGCATTTAATTCTTCTTGAATGTTTCATAGAGTGGCTTCTAAAGCTTTTTGTTTAAAAATGTCAGCTTCTAATATAGTTCCAGTGCTATTTAAATGCATGTGTCATTGATATCAAACTGCTAGGGAAGCTTTTTGAAAGTCTACACTGAGAAAAATGCAGCAGAAGGCAGTGAACACAACAAAGCATCATATACTTATGGGCCAGTCTTTCTTGTGTACTTTCTTCTCTGTACCTAGAATGGCACTTTCTCCATATTTTTTTTCTTGTGTTTCTTTGAAGACCAGTTCAAATACCAGCCTACTACAGAGGTAAACTGCTTTATATTTGGCCTCTGTAGCATCTTAACATGACTGGATTATATTTCTAACACTCTTGTGATCATTTGTATATTTTGCATATGTTGCTTCCTTCACTAGTGTGCATGTGTGCACTCATATATATTTTTGATCATATGTATATATGATCAAATATATCAAAAATATATATACATATATGATCAAAAATATGATACAATGTATTCAATAATGTCATGATTAAGTGGTATATTTAATTGAACCTGATATATGTTCAGAGAATATGAATTAAGTAAAAGATAATTAGAAAGATTAAAATCTGTCATCAATAAAATCATATGAAGTTTTCAAAAGTCATAAAACCTGGCTGAGTTATCTGTTCTTTTGCATTATCTGTATTACTCCTCCTCCCTATTCATGAAATAAACGGGGGTGACTTTAATTATACAGGACTGAATTACATTCTTCTATGTACACATACTTTAAAAGTTTACAAAAGATTCTCCTATAAGGAATATTATATAGATATGGTTCCTGCTTTCTAGTGTCTTACTGTTTTAAAGTGCCTTAATTGGAGTAGTCACAGAAAATAAAATTTGTCATAAAAGCAGGTGATAAAACAGACTATAAATATGTATATTTATATTTTTATATGTGTATATATACATACATGATGATGATACTTAATTGGGATAAATGATGTGATTAAAAAGATCAAAGTTTTAGAAAGTACTAATATTTTCTCTATAAAGACTTAATTTATCTTTGAAATTGTTTTGACACTGTCTACTTTTCTCTGTTTCTACTGATGCTACAGATTCAAATGGTTATTTTTTTTATTCTGCACACTGCCACAGCCTTTTCTACCTTGTTATCCCCACTGGATAATTCACCTTCACTCTGCTGCAAATGACATTTTAAAATAGACATAAGGTCCAGCTATGATAGAGTGAATTGGACTTGCTTTCCACTGTAAACAACTAGAAAATTGCACACAATATGTAATAAAACATGTTTTCAGACACTGGGCACTAGGCAGCATAGGGCTGCCATCGCTGATGGAAGGGAAACAAATAAGATTGCCCCAGATTTCAACTGGAGGTACTTTCCAGAGAGTGGTGTAGTAAGAGGAATCAAAAACAAAGCATGAAGTTTTTTTATTTATATTTAATTGAAAAGAAAACAAAGTTTGAGGAGATTAAGGAAGAAGTAAATTGTAGGGTAGAATGATAGAGAAGAAGCAGATCTAAATAGGAATGTTGCAGAAACCCACATGGGATTTCCTATAGTCTGTTACTGTATATCAAACTGCATATGCAACAGGTGAAGCTTTGTGAAGCTGAGCTGGAAACAGCTTTGGAAATGAAAGTTTAAAAACCCACAAGGGCTGAGGGATTTTTGAGTTCAAGTCATTTAAAATGAAGAAGATTTGACCATCTGGCACATTCAGTAGAGCTCAAATGAGGGTCATAGTCAAGCAGTAGGGTTGAACGTGCTCCAGTGAAGATTAAAAACAAGGCTTTTAAAGGACTAATCTTACCCTTAAGGAAGTTAATTGTCTACCATAAAAAAGGCATCTAACACTTTTTTAAAAAAGAAAAAATAACTCAACACTCAATAATGTAAGATTCACAATATCCAGCATCCAATAACAATATTAAACATTAGAAGGTTTGATTTATAATGAGAAAAATAAATCAGTAAAAATAAACAAATCAATCAATAAAAATAGTCCCAGAAATAACAGAGATAGTAGAACTGGAGTGTGAAAGATGTAAAGTAGCTGTTATACACATTCTAAACATGCTCAGGGATTTAAATAAAATATGAACATAATGAGAAAAGAAATGAAAGACAAAATATTTATTATTTAAAAGGAAAAATTCATGATTAAACTATAAGAAGATTAGGTACTGCAAAAAACACACACAAAAAAACAACAATAATAAATGATCTGTTAACTGTAATCAATACAGTAGTGAAACAACTGAAACTGAAGTATAAGAAGAGGCAGAAATAAACATGAACATATCTTCAGTGACCTGTATGACAATATTAAGCGGTATAACATATGTGTAAGTGGGGATACATTAAAATATTTGAAATAATAATGACTGAAAATTTCCTAATTTGATGAAAACAATAAACCCATATATTCAAGAAGTCACATGAACCTGATGTATAATAGTATAAACCCAAAGACAAACTTCTAGACACATCACAATTAAAATTTCTGAAAACAATGCCTTTTGTTGTCTTAAACACAATGGACAGATTTTGTAGAGAAGAAACAGAAAAATGATCACAGATTTCCCTCAGAAACTATGCTGGCCAGTTAACAATGGGATAAGAAATTGAAATATCTAAAGTCTACATAATAAACCCAGAAGAAATCAAAACATGAGAAAGTGAGAGACAAAGTACAATGGGACATATAGAAAGCAATAACAAGATGGTAGATTTGAACTCAAACATATCAATAAATAATTAAAATGTTAATGGTTTAAACACTCTAATTAGAAGGCAGAAATAACCAGATTGGATGAAAAAGCAATATCCAGTTATATGCTGTTTACAAGAAACCCACTTTAATATAAAGATACAGATAAGTAAAATAAATGGGTGGAAATGATATACCCTGCAAGTACTTAAAAAAAAACTGTAAAGATTATATTATGATTAAACAAAGTTCCCTGCTATTCACTGGGAACTTTAATCATGAATCAATTCAATTTTTCACCAAGGGCTTTTTCTGTACTTAAATATGGCCAGTTGATCTCAACCAAAATGTCAAGGTAGTTCAAAGAGAAAGGTTAGAGTTCTCAACAAATATTGTTAGAAGAAGTAGATATTCATATGGAAAAGAATAAACATTTTCCCTTACTTTATGCCATATACAAATTCAAAATGAATCATAGATAAAAATATAGAAGCTAAAATTTTAAAGTATTTTTAGGAAAAAATAAAAGAAATTATGAAGGCTGAGGTACCTTGTTCTAATCTGGTGAAAATAAAAGTCTAGGCTCCTCATTTGGCTTTTTCTGTTGTGGATGAAGGTGGGACCATTGTTTTTTGTTGTGGTGCCTCTGTTGCTTTGGCAGGCTTTTTGGAAGATGTTGTCAGTATTCACCCATTGGCTTTCTGAGTTGTTAGTGCCTCCAACACCCTGTCTAGCATTTATGAGGCAAAAAGAAAATCCAAGGATCTTATCACTGTATTGTTTCTCACATCCTGCAATCCCTAGTCAGTCTGATTTCTTCTTTCCATCTTTTACAGTCTTTTCATATTTGTTTTATTTATAATATTATGACTTTTTGGCTGTATTCAGTAAAAGAAATATGAAAAAATTATATCCACAACATCGTCCTAGAAGTAGAATTCCTACAAATAATACTTTAGTATTTGTGTTCTTTTCTGTAGCTAAAGTTTACTGTTATTCATATATTTACATATCTAAATAAATTCAATGCCTGTCACTAGTTCTTATATCCTAGGTTTTTCCATTGTTTAGTTGTTTATATTTTTCAACAGGTAGTGTTTGTATTTTTCCACTAAAGTTAATGAGTGCACTATTTTGCAGGCTTATGTGTATTGCAAATGAATAATTTCATTATATTTGAAGTGTAATTTTACTCATTATACAGCTTTCAAATGACATTCCCTTTCCCTCAGAACTCTGTAGACTTGCTTCATTTGTAAATATTCCTCTGGAATCATTTAAAATTAGTTTGATTTTCTTTGTTCTGTCTAACTTGTGTTTCTATCTGGGTGCTAATGGCATTCTTTTAAATATTATTTTTCAGTATCACCTTGATAAGTCTTTGTGTTGATCATTTTGTTTCAAATTTTCTTTTTTAGGACTTAATGTGCTATTTCAGTCTAAAGTTCCAAGTCTTTTTAAAATTCAAGTAAGTTCCTTGTCTCTTCAAAGTCTCTATCCTTCATGTTGCTATCGTGTCACATTTTTTCTTTTTCTCCAGGAATACTGGTCATGCATATGTTTGATCTCCTTAGCTGGTATTTCATATCTATCTTATTCTTTTAATTCTTTAACTTTTTTTGTTATTTACTTTCAGACTTCACATTTTTTTTCCAAGCCTGTCTTTCATCCCCTGACAATATTTTTCCAATATATATTGTTTATAATGTAATTTTTTGACTTTAAATTATTTGTCATATTTTTTATCTCCTGCTTTTGTCTAATGTCTTCTTTTTTCAATAAATATGTTGTTTGACTTTCATTTATAATCAATGATTTTAACTTTTATAAATTACAGAAATTTAATCCAAATTATCTCATGTTTCCTCCATTTCCTTTTGAGGTAGATATTCTTCATGCATACTTTTTTTTTAGTTCTTTCAAATTATTAAATCAAGGAAGGCTTTTCTTCCTGAATAATTCTATGGGGGAGGATACAAGGAAGTGCTTCTAAATATTAGAATGTTAGAATAAGGTGTGTGATATAGTATACCCTCTTACATGTCTGTTATAATTTAAGTCCTGGGAGTTGAACTCAGTCTTTGACTCACAACAGTTAAGTCAGGACCACAGTGAAGAATGAAGCCACAGGCTTTGTATTGTGATCTGGGTATCACAACATTTTTCTCTGTCTTTCTCCTCTCTTTACTTATAGCAATCCCCAACAGATGTTTAATATGTGATGATAATGTAGAAACATCAGAAGGTAATATTTATATATAATTGCCATTTACAACTTGAAACATATAAAAATTGAGAAATTCAACTGAATAGTCATGTATTTCAGGATATTTCAGAATTTGGAAACATAAAGACAGATACCTAGGTGCCTGCTAAAGTTTTCATCGGAGTATTATGACAACTGGAGTGTGTGGTTCAATATTCTATTATTTTTCTTAAGAATATATTAAAACTACATTCTTACAAATATATTCTTCATGTTAGGAACAAGAAGCCAATGTCCTTAAATGTGGGCACTTTGATTAGTATTCTTTTCAGTGTAGTTGAAGAAAATGTATTTATAGCAATTATTACATGACATAAAAACTATATCTTATTCAGTTTAATCAGCTAGACCCAAGCTTATAAATTTTGTAAGGAAAGGTCATTTTCTCTGCAAGAAATTGAGTCATTCCTCAGAACGGGAGAGGCAGTCCCCATAATATCTATTAGATTTGTTCAGCTACCAGTTGTTTAAAAAATATAACATCAAGAAATATATCTAACAAACTGTAATATTGTGATTGAAACCACTGAGTTTCTGTTCAATTTGTCTTCCCTGAATACTAGCCTCACTTTTCATAGGTGTAGGCTCCAGGCAGTCATGTTTCATCTGACTTTAGTTTAGTTATCAAGACTGAAAACCCGATCAAACTTGGCCCAAACAAATGTGCATTCTCAGGATTCTGCAATCAATTTAATATAGATGTGAAAGCTGAGGAGCAGCGATACAGCTATATACCTTCATGCACAAAGCAGAGCTACAGAGAGTCCAGAGATGAAAGGAGGAGAGAAAACATCCCCTGGATTCTTACACTGTTCTTGGCTCCTTTTCCTTTCTGAAGTCCAGACACAGTCTAGACAGTTTACTTGAGTCCAGTACTTCTTTATAATAGGAACATATTTCCTTATAATTGCCTTGTAGGAAATAAACCTCATACTTTTCTCTCTACTTATTTTCTTTTTGCCTCCTCCTCCTTCTCCTCTTTCTTCTTTGAACAAATGGGGGTTGGTTCTGTTATTTTCAACCTGAATCCTAATTAATATAATGTCCACACATTTTGAAAAAATATAAAATGAACTTGTTACTTTTGCTAAGCAAATAAATAACAACAATAAAAAGCATTATAAAACAGTTTTGAGATTTGCATTTGAGAGTTTCTCTTTGATAAGAACAGATTTGGGCAGGGAAGAGTAGAGTAGAAAAATATAACCTAATTATTTTTTACAAGCAGAGAGATATGTTTCGCTTATGTAAGTCAGAACCAGCCATTCCAATGGTTTGTATGATTTAAATACATTTATTATTTAAAGTAATACTGAGTAATGTGTCATAAGTCCATTTGTTATGCTTTTGCATGTTTTATAATATCAGTTCTCTCCTCTATCCTCTACCCTTTAACACCAGGATTACTGAAGTTCCTTAAAACTATACTTGGGGGGCCCTTGACTACTCTTTTATGTTGGAGCAGAGGGAACACTTTTCCAGTTTTATGGAGGTAAAGTACCATTTTGGTTTTATTCTATTTTCCTTGGATGTTCAGAAATCTGTAAGATTTCCTCGAGGGTATTCACATTTACCAGTAAGAATGTAAAATCCTCAGGGGAAATCTTCTTAATAAGACTCATTGGATATCATACCTGAAATCCTCCCTTTAAGAATTTCTTCTCAGAGTGACTGGACAAAAGATTTTTGTACTTTTCCATGGATTGAGCCATCGCAATTTTTTTCCTATAGTGGGGAGTGTTAATTTATGTTATTTTTCTCTAAGTCGTTAAGCAATAGTTTTAGTACTTTTTCCCATTGACTATAAATGCCTCCATTTGTGTACAGTAAATTATTATATGCACTGGATCTAATTTATTCTGTTGTATTTTTCTCTCTGTACATTGCAATGCAAGTAGCCATCATAATTCTTCGATGAGTCCCAGTATTGATCCAGCAGTTACCGCCTTTTTGCGTGGCTGACAAGAATGTCTTCCAGGTGCTCTTTTTGCAGCGTTATTCATTTCAGTGTCTCTCTAGGAAGAGTTTGAAGTTCAGGGGTGAGCCTTTGTAACACACTCTAGTCATCTTCTACTTGTTCATTTGTATGGAGTAACTTAAATCTTGTTTACATAAATATTTGGTGATGTCTCATTAGTCACAAAACTATACTTGGAATGCAATATCAATGATAATCAGACTTCTCTTTTAACTTTTAATTAATAATGTCCAGCACATATATTATGGTACTTCCATTACCGAAAATTTCATGCATTCTTTTGATTCTGCAGTCCCTTAATCGGACTGCCAATTACCTTTACCTGACATGTTTCCCTGCAGTAAGCCAGAATGTATGTCTGAATTATATGTGAATTCTGTCACTTCAGATTTATTCCCTTTTTCAACTGAATAGTATGTCTTTTGATAATGTTGAGTTTTCATCTCTTCTTGTTTTCTTAAGGAATTTCTGTGTTAGGCTTTTTAGTTAAGGTTTTTCCTCCTAGGCTACCTCTATTTCCATCACTTAACTTCTTGTCTCAAACAATATGGCTGCTGATTTTTTCTCCTTTAGCCCAGCTATCATTTTAAAAAATCTCAGTATTCTATGTTGTGGAGATACATTTTTACTGACTATATTAGTGTTAGGTAATTTCTATATATTTAATAGCAACAATAACAACAACAAAGAACAACAACAAAAAAAAAACTGAAATAAAAGCCTTTCTACTTTTTAGGCCACATTAATCTCCAATTGCCTCTGGTAAACACTTAATTGATTAAATTGTCATAGAAAAGTGTTATTATTTTAGTGTTAGAATGAGAGAATATTTAGTATTCCCTACCTTCAGTCTAGAGAGGCAGAATGCTGCCTTAAACAAGTTTTATTTCAGATTGTCCATGTTACAGATGATACCAGTACACATGTAAAGGCTCAATTGATGTTTGTTAAATAAATACATGAATGAATACACTTTGAAAACCAGTTGTGATTAATATTTAAAGAAACTGATTAATGAGTTGATTAAAAATACCTGTAACTGGTTTATAGGATCAACTTACAGGGGATTATATTATATGCTTAACTCTTAAAAATTGGTATTTTTGTTTTTGAATATTTGGTTTGTTTAAACATGTCAGAAAATAAATTTCTTGTTTAGTTTTCCTTCCAAAAATTCATAGTTTTTGAATGAGCTGACTTTGTGATGTCATAGCAATTTTACTGGTATACCTTAGTTCTGCTAGATGATGTTAGATGCAGGCACACTGCATATGAAGTTGGATGGGCTGTGCACCACACATGGGCAGCATGCATCTATACTGTATGTGAATACCTCCTCCCATGTGGAAGTGTTCAGTACACAACCAGCATGGTGTGCTAGTAACTGTGACCAGAGGCTTAATCAATGAATGATTTTATGCCATGAGTTTGAGGTAGACATTGACATCACTTAATGATCATAAGCTATTTTAAATTCAAATATGTGTGCTTTGTTTGGATTTTCTGTTTCCAATTTCAACTAACTTTGCTGTGTGCTCCTGAGAGCAAGTGGTTTTGATAGAAACAGACTGCCACATAGAAAATTCATACACATTGGTTCCCTGGGAAACCAGGCCAAGAATAGTTTTCTTTGCACATCCTGGTTTCCTCTAATGAGGGCCAGTATAAGAATGTGAGTGTCACAGTGTAATCCATAAATCCCAAGGAATCATTATTTTTTGAAACTTTTAATGAACTTTGCAGATACTCAGATTAGAAAGCATTTCAGATATTTGCCTGAACTGAATAATTTCTGAGGTCTTTCCTGTGTGTGTGTGTGTGTGTGTGTGTGTGTGTGTGTGTGTCCTGTATGATTATTTATATGTATTCGACTAAAACAAGAAGAGCATATGTGACAAATGGTATATAGGCTTTGGGCAGCTACTAGTGATTTTTTAAAAAAGTTTTCTTGAGCTAGGTGTGATGGTGTGTGCCTGTAATCCCAGCCGCTCAGGAGGATGACGCAGGAGGATTACTGGAGTCCAGGAATTCGACACCGACCTGGGCAATATAACAAGACTGCCTCAAAAAATAGTTCTTAAGATATGGAGACTCAAGACTTTCTAGTTAAAGTAAATTTTTAAAATGCTTAACAAAACAAGTTAATTGTTTCTATACTGCCTGTAATCGGCATTACAAGGCTTGCAGCATTCAATTCCCTTGTTTGAAAGCCTTTCACTGCATTTATTTATTATTTATTCATTTGTTTATATTTTTCACAGATAACTTGACAAGCACTGCTTGGATAGTGAGCATTTGTTTATTATTCAGTAAAAATAGTTTTCAGAGAAAAATTTTCAAATGTAATACATAGTAAGTTGCAGTTCTCTTTGTAAACTTTGGAGAATGCATTGTGTTTACTAAAACTTTTCTATATATTATGAATCTCATTTTAATATTTCTTTCATACATTGTCTTACTTTAAGAGGATATATATTTGCAAAGTGTGTATGAGCCACAGATATTTGTTGAGGGATCCATATGCATGGGCAGTGGGAAGATGGGATTTAGTTCCCAGAGATTCCCCTTTCAGGACCTTGGCTATTCTGTAGGGTAAAGTAATTTGCATTACAGACATAATTTATGTTTGTGATTAAAAATGCAGAGTTCTGTTGTAACATAAAAGCATTATGGGAAAGCTAAGGCATATTATAATTCACTACCTACAATGCAAACAATTTCCAGCATAGTAATCGTATCACTTATGTCTGGCTAGAACTGGACACAGAGCAATTCAGCATAATCTGTGTAACTGTTTATTGACCATATTGCTTTCATTTTTTTTTGCCCTAGAGCTGGTAATTATGTGGATTTAAATGCTATAGAAAGGCAGATTGTGCAAGACAAATAATGTTCAGCCTGGGAAAGTAAGAACAAAGCATAAGCTGTTCCTAGGCCATTGTGGCATACAGCCACAATGTAAAAGAATGTTGTCAAAATTCTAATGCTACTGGAGGAAAGTGGTGAAGATGCATAGATAACATAAAATATTAAAGGTGAGGACTTCTGATATTTAAAGACAGTGATAGCCAGCTAGTTTCATGTTTCTCAAAGTTTGTTTCCTCCAAAACAAATAGAGAACAACAAGAAAGGAAAAATAAAATTACAAAAAATTCACTTGGCAGAACTTCAATACAACAAGTTCCCAAACGTTAATCAGATAGTAAGTAAAACAGAAAAAATTACCAAATCCCAGTGAATGATCTTACTGTCCTTACCATCCTTTACCTTCCCCAAGACTTTGTGGCAAGCAAAGGTAGAGTCAGGAAAACTGTGAGGAATAGAGAAAGAATAAAATAACAGGTATAAAGTTGTCCTAAAAACCACTGTCAGAAAGATTAAGTACAATCTAATTCTGAAATCACACACAAAAAAGTATTCTGATATATCAGAACATAAACCATAGGAAGACACTTAAAATGCTTGCAGTGTTTGAAGTTTGTAGCTTCTGAGGGGGAAAAAATGCAAAAATGAATGCAAGTAAATACAACGTTTTTTAATCAGTTAGGTGATGAATGATAAAAGAAAAAAAAAGAAGAAGAATATTTCAGGGTCCTACAAAACAAGAGGGCCAAAAATCCCCCAAAAGAACATACAATCGCATCCTCACCATCAAATCAAAAGAACAGAAATCAGCTAAAGTGACTGCATTTTGTTATGATGACAGAAGAGGGTGCCATAAAACTAGTCATTTTAGAAAATACCCCAATAGCACAAAAATGAAGAGAAAAAATATGAACAGATTCATATAGTTTTTATTTTAAAATCAGAAAATGAGATTCAACACAACAGAGGAAAATCCCCTCTCCACATAAACAACCAAAATGAAAAAAAAACAGCAAAAACAAAACTAAATGAAAAACAAACTACAAACTGAATTGAATATATCACAAGCATTTGAGGATATGAAAAACTACATGAAGCAGAAATTAAAATCCTAGCACAGAAATGAATAAAATAATAAATAAATGCAGAATTGTTTGAACTTAAGAAAACAAGGGAAGAAAATGTCAAAATAATATCAGGAATAAATGATAACATCTAATGTTTTCAAGAAGGAGTATAATAAAATAAAGAATAAAATAGAAGGCATGGAAGAAAGCATAAAGTAACCAAGAAAATGAATATGAGAGAACAAAAAGGTAAGAAGGGTCGGAGAGAAAGTAGAGGAAGTGAAAGATAGCCTAAGAAGGAAAAAGATTCCTTCTCTGAAAAGGAAAAACAAAATAATGGAATAGAACTAATATTTAAAACTATAACCCGGGAAAACTTTCTACTAACACTACTACCAGTCCCAAAGGTAAATATTAAAAAGGCTGCCTGAGGACTGGGTATGGTGGCTCATGCCTATAATCCCAGCACTTTGGGAAACTGAGGCAGGCAGATCATCTGAGGTTAGGAGTTCAAGACCAGCCTGGCCAACATGGTGAAACCCTGTCTCTATGAAAAAGATACAAAAATTAGCTGGGTGTGGT